AACGTCGCGGCCCCCCACTCCATGCAACGGATTCGTTTTCTGGGCCCCCCACCCCTTGCGACAAAAATTTGCGACAAAGTGCAGCCCATACTACTAGCGTCCGGTTGGGCGCGCTGACCAGCACGTGCACGTCGCTGTGGCGGTGGCGGAGGGATCAGAATTTTCGTAAAAACTTGCCTTCTGAAGACGTCGGAGGACTCTTGAGCCTGTTGCGGGTCGTGCCGCCCGTCATCAAGCTGTCCATTCAGTTTTCCAAGTCTGCCGTCCTGTCCTGTTCGTTTTTCGGAGAGCACGTCAGGTGGGTGACGGCAGGTGCTGCGTCAGTGACACATTTTCGCGTTTGCGTCACTCGATTAACCAAACGCCCTCTGCCGCAGCCGGTTGGCGTTGAGCATCAGCGGCTCCAGCGAGAGGACTGGCGCCACCCTCATCCGGAAGCTTGGGCCTCGCCTAAGAGAGTTGGACGTGACTAGTGTCGGCGATCTGGACGCGCTGTTCGCCTGCTTGCAGGACGCCGGCTGCAGCCGCCTGGAGGTCCTGGAGCTCAAGTTGAAGCTCGCCAATCTAACAAGTGGCCGCTTATGGCGGCAGGTAAGTGTACGGGGAAGAGGGGGGGGGGGCCTCTGTGCCACCATTCTTACCGTGTACCATAACTATTGTCTCTTTCGTAGGAAATGAAGCTTCCTAGACTGCACACTGTCGTGCTCTCCCGTGATTCCAACCAACCTACTAATGCCACGTTCGAAGCCTTGAGATCGCTGCTGCGAGCGCACAGGTATATTCTCAGACGCGACCCAGCTCTGCCAGGGCTCGTCAACTGAACTTAAAATGTTTTCTCTTCTCTGACACCAACCGCCTGCTCTGATTGGTGCGAACAACAATCTGGACAATTAGAGGAACATGTGAAACCCATAGGACGCATAATTTTATGCACATGCTCACTGTTGAAATGTTTGCGAGGGGTCCCCCACTTCCAAAATAGGTGTACCGGGTGTTGCATAAAAGACACAGGTGCGGGCGGGTTTGCCTACCCAAGGGGCTATGGCGCCCTACGGGCAGAGCGGGTAGGCAAACCCGCCCGCACCTGTGTCTTTTCTGCAACACCCGGTACAACAAATTAGAGAGTTGACGAGTTGCTGTGAGTTAGGCACGAGTTAGGATCAATTTTTGGAGAGTTTTGCGCTATTTTTTTGCACATTTAGCGCGAGTTTTCGCAAACTTTCGCGAGTTTGTGCGAGTTCTCGCGAGTTTGACGCGAGTTGGGCGCAGGCAAGTGTACAACGACTTGACTAGTGGGGGACCCCTCGAATGTTTGTAGTGTAGACGATCCTACCCGATCCTACTGCTACTTTGCTTTCAGTGGACAGTTGCGCTGCGTGTCGCTGGGGGTGGACAAGACACTGTTCCCGGTGCTGAGCGGCTGCTCCGAGGACCTCCATCGTCTGGAGGTGCCCGCCGTCAAACGCGCTGGCATGGCCGCGGTGCTGCAGCGACTGCGGGGTCTGAAGGAGCTGCGGATCTACGTGGGCACCAACAGTTACCGCACTGACTCCAAACTTACAGACGTAAGCATCGTGATCTATATTCTAGTGCATGTCTCGTTGAGTACCGGGCCAGCCTCTTTAGGCCAGCCGCCACAACGCAAGGGTCCTTAACGCATGCGATTTAATTATTGTTTTCCCTTTACGATTTTCCCGAAACGATAAAGTTCATCTGAAAGTGCAGATCGCAAATGTGTTATAATCTAGAGACTGTGTTTGTGTTAAAACGTCTAGTGACCAAAAATAATGAAGATACAGAAATTTTTTATGCGTTTTATAGTCTCTGCTCCTGCCCGGTGTCTTTGTTTCAAGACCCGTTTTGTCCTCAGTTCATCGAGTTCCTGGACTCCTGGCGCCGGGGATTTCAGCTTGAGCGCCTCGAGCTCCGCATGGCCGACGATGAGACGCTGGGCGCCCTGGCGCCGGACCATCTCGCGGGCCTGCGGCACTTGGACCTGGGGCTGTACGGCGTAGATAGTCGGTCATATCGATATGATCCAGAGGACCTCCCGCCTTCCCTGTCGGCGCTGAAGGACCTCCACCTCCCCCGGCTGCGCTCGCTGGTCCTGCGTTACGCTGGCCTTCGCTCTATTCGGTCGTTCCGCGACATCTCCGCCGCCAACATCCCCGCCCTCGAGTTGGTCGTTGTTGTGTTTACCGACTACCCCGCAGGTAAGACGTTCTGAGTTCAAGGGTTGTTGTTGCGTTCTGCCCGGTCCTCCTCATGTGTTGACAGTTCCAGACGCCCCTACAAAATATGTCGTGTCCACAGGTATTGTGGGGGAGGTGAAGATGTTCGAGGAGCTGGTGCGCCGCGCACCCATGGCGTCGCTGCATGTCAACATGCGGATGGCAAAATGGAGCGATGAGGTGGTCCGGATCTGCAGGCACCCAGGAGGAGCGAACGAGTGCGGGCTGTGCGCCGAGGCGGAGGCTCTGCTGCTCGCCGACGGAATGTCCGATGCCATTGAAGTGGAACACGTTGAAGTTCTGTGAATATATCCTCTGTTCTGATTCTGATACGACTAGCACTTTCACCCTTTGCACGCCAGCGCGCTCCCCATACTGAACGGGGTTAGGTTCGGTTTTAGGTCCACATCAGAGTTTGTGAGGGATCGAGCAGAAAGTACGGCCGTCAGTCGGTCGCCGCTACCAATCTGCTTAGTGTAGGTAGCGTCTGCAAGCTCTCATAGCGCCTGTTAGGTAGGCAACATCGTGCCAGCAGTGCATGCGTGCACTGCGGGGTGGCCTACCTTCAGTCTCGCAGGCGCCGACGGAGGCGCCGCGCCGACCTCCTGACATTTGCTGAAAGAATCTTAGGAAATAAAACGGACAAGCTTTCTGTACGATAACTAACCCCGAGAGCAAAACCCGAGGGGCCGAAGCGGAAGCCGAAACCAAAGAACATGGAGCCGAATGGAGCCGTGAGGGCGAACGCACCACCTGCTCCGCGCCTCCAGATTCTTCGCTTTCGGCTTTCGCTTTGTGCTCTCCTAACTCGCAGCCCGCCATTGCTGCTGCCCGCAGCACGCGCTCACCCCAAGTTCCGGCCTCAGCCAACTATTCTGTATGACTGCATTAAGTACATAGCTGCCAGGGACTGCGGCGGACCCTGACACTCACTAGTACCGGGTGTAACTGTGAATATGCGGCAGTGTTGCGGGTTTGAATACTCTTTACACCCGCAGGGGGCCATGGCCCCTGCGACCATATTGAGTAATCCCGCAACACTGCTGCGTATTCACAGTCACACCCGTTACATTTCGAAACCAGCACTCTAACACGTTGAGTGCGGAGCCGAAAAAAGAAGGATGTCCCAGGAGCCGAAGGCTGTCGGGGCCGCCCTAATTATTCTAGAAAATTTAAAATTAC